TCTTTCCCTGTAATTTATTATTTAAATTTAAGGAGGACAAACCTTAGAAAAAGAAGAGAAAAAACAAAAAGGTTGAGGAACACAGAATTCTATTCAAAGAAACTCACAGAATACGTTTTGGACATAAATTGCATTATGACATTCGCTTTTTATTTCTAAACATCTACTAATAAGGCTTTCTTGTTGCCATATGCAATCTTCTTTCATCAAGCCAATTGGTTTAATTAGCATTTACATCACTTTAAGTTATGACACCAGTTAACAAAATAGAACTGTTGAAGTAGAAACAATGAAACTTTCACACACACAGAAATCACCTAAACCTAACCTTGTCTTCTCTTTCCAGATGCAGCAACTTCTTTAGATGAAAGGTGAATAGAAAGGAATGTTTTCCAAGGGGAAGGGGGTGGGGGCGTGTCAGGTAATAACATGGACGCAGAGGAGATATATATATATATATATACACACACACATATATATAGTATATATACGAATGTATATATACTATATATATATATACACATGTATTTACATATACATATAAATATAAATATATTTATAATGTAGTATAAATACTAATGATTATGGCTCAGATTATAAAAGGAAAGAGAAATCAATGTTTTGGCATATCAGGTGTGTGCATTAAATAATTAAATAATTTCTAAGTTCTAATCTGCTCCAAAATTATAAAATAGTATTGTAGATGGGAGAAAAGGGAAAACTCTTGCTCTATTTTCACTCTCCTCTTCTTTCAAGAATATTAATCTAAGATTCCAAAATACTGTTTGGGCCATATTTGTAAGTGGTAGTGCTGAAAGGGAAATGGAAATGTTTTCTTTAAACGATTGTATTGGCGAGTGAGATAGTCTCCTGCACCCTCCTCTCAGCCATTCTGAGGAAGCTGGGAGAGGCTGGGAAGTGGCCTCTTCAGGGAAGGCCAGTCCTGCTCTCACGCTTCCTCTTGCTTACTCAGGGCTGGGTTAGTTAACACACTGGGTCTGTCCCCAGCTACATCTTTCTTTTCTTTTTTTTTGGTCTAACTTGTTGACAGAATACTTGTCCTTGGGCATGCAAATCACATCAAACGGTGATAAGATTTGAGAAATGCCCTTCTGCCCTGTAAGGCTTAAACTTTTATCCTGTTTCCAGCCAAATTACCAGAGAGCTTGCATCAAGGAGCATGGTCTAACTTGTTGACAGAATACTTGTCCTTGGGCATGCAAATCACATCTAACGGTGATAAGATTTGAGAAATGCCCTTCTGCCCTATAAGGCTTAAACTTTTATCCTGTTTCCAGCCAAATTACCAGAGAGCTTGCATCAAGGAGCATGTTGATGAAGACATGAGCACAGTTAATTAATAAAGTGGATCCCATGTTTCCCATTTGCCATTTTACCTTTTAACATCAAGAGGAAGAACAGCTGTGATTTGGTGCATGTGTTTTGTGTTTGCACGCATGTCAGTCTGTTTTCTATCGCTTGTAACGAAATACATGAAACTGGATCATTTACGACAAGATGGAATTTCTTATAGTTCTGGAGGCTGGGAAGTCCATGGTCCAGGGAGCACATCTGGTGAGGGGCTTCTTCTCAGAGTGAAGGGTCACGTGGCAACACAGGCAATCACGGGGTGAGGACGGCAAGAGTTCTTTCATGTCTCTCCTTATAAAGCCACCAGTCCGCAGTAATAAGGATAACTTATTACTCCTTGAATGGATTAATCCATTTATGACAGCACAGGCCTCACAATCCAATCACCTCTTAAATGCCTCAAATTTCATATACCATAATTGGATTTCCTACCCTTTTAACACTGTTACAATGGGGATCAAGTTTCTAACACATGAATTCGGGGGAACACATTTGACCCACAGCAGTGTATGTGTGCATGGACATTACTGAGCCCTCTTTTTATAATATTACCTGAATACCACAATTTCGTCATCATCTCTAACAACCTGATATTATTTTGAGGGAAGCACAATAGAAATGGAATAAAGAGAACCAGGCAGGATTAAAAAGGTGGGGAGGTCAACTGAGGAAATATTAAAACATGGGTCATTCTATCTACACAATTCAGCAAGCTCAGATCAATATTTAAAAATCACTCTTATGAAAAAAAGAATGTTTATATGAAACTTAAAAAACATAAAAAACATACCAGTAGGTAAATTTGTGGGTTCCAAGATATAAAACTTATTGAAATGAAGGAGTCCAACTGGCAAGTTTTTCCAAGACGAAAAATAACTAAGTAATAGTTTCAATCCTATTGTTATGATTGGAAGTGTGTGCCTGCTTGTGTGTATCCGTGTGTTGTGCGTGTGTGTGTGTATCTTCTGGTAGGGGTGTACAGGACCGATTTCTAACTCTAAGAACTATTTGGTAATGGCTTAAATACTCATGGAAATCCAAGAAACCAAGCTATGAAAATGGCAGAGTAGTTAAAATAAAGGCTTCTTACAATTACATGCACACAAAATGAATGCATGAAGCACCAGGTGAGTTACAAGCAGAAGTCCAAGTCCCTGCAGTTGCACTTGATGTACCTCAGGTGTTGAAAGCAACAAATGATGTCACTGCCACACTAACAATAAGAAAAAAATGAATCATCTGCAACATCAATTCTTCTTGAGATTATCAGAGAGCTGAGGTCACAAGGCAACCAAGTAAACCTTACTCCAAAGAGAAAAAAAAAGCTTCTAAGGGGAGAGACAGGACAATAAACTGTCTCACCTTTGGGAGAGCAATATGCAAAAAGAGATCATGGCCACATCAGTATAAGAACAAAGCAGATAATATTTTAATTGACCAACTTCTTTTTCTGCCTAGAGTTATCACCCACAGCAGCCGACACCAGGACTAAACCACTTCATCGAATCCCCATGTGTATTCACCAACATTCAAATGTCTACAAAGTATGTTGTATGCTATTCAGCACTGATATAGTGGGAAATTGTCAAGTGCAATAAATTGCAGATAGTCATTGCCCTAATGTAATCTTTCTCACTTTCTCTTCTTTTGAAAATCTGTTCGAAATTCCACAGTGAATTATTTCTGAATCTGTCCTTCTTGCATGGGGTTGCCTGAATATGGAAAAGAAAAGGGACAATGCAATTCAGCAAGGGGAGGTAGCTATTTTGCTTGCTTCTCAGATTTAAAGAACATGTGCTCTACGCTGAAAATTCAATGAATCATCATGGTGAACTGTAATTAATTTCCATTTAACTGTTGGAAGTTGATCTCCTGATACAGGAACAATATAAACCATGAAAGCTGTTACCAAAAATTTTGATTTTTAATGTTTATTAAATCAATGTCCCTCTGAATAACTTCAGCCATTGACTTTATTAGTTCTAACTTTATATCCACTCCAACATATGATGGAGTAAGCCATGTTGGGAAACAAAACCTTATGGACTTCAGAAAACTTTTAAAAGACAGTGTGTTTCTTAGTACGCATTTCTATTTGTTCTCTCTTTTCCCATGGTTACTTGATATTTTGAACCTTGGTTATGGAGGAGGATGACATTATTTACATAAGTGTAGAGCTGTTTTTCAGACCCTGAGAAACCAAGGAAGACGTCAATAAAGCTGTGTCGATTCCACTCTGAAGCAAATCAAAATTCTGCAAGACCTGAGATAACTTCAAGGATGAGAACAGAAGCTGATGGAGCCTTGATGAGAATTTGCACCTGTCCCCTTACATGTAGCCCCAACAGCTCAGGTCTCCCCACCTGCTTTCCATTCCTTCAACCTCCTCCTTAAAAACCCCGAGGTAAATTTAGCCTGGGAGATGGAGTAACCTCACCTCTCCTTCAGGTTTCCAGTCCTGAACAAATCTGCCTCCTCTTTTCACCAATATTTGACTTTTGTTTCCGTTTGGTGGTGGGCAGGCAGACTTGGGTTTGGAAACAAATAGTTACAATAGCACTTGAAAGATTAAAGTTGCTTTGTTTTCACTTGGTTGAACAGGATCACCACTGTTATCCATGTCAGCAAAACTGAATAACTTTAAAATGTGAAATCTGACATTTATCCTAAAATGATTATCAAAGAACATTCTGAGAACCAGGTGCGATCATTTCTACACATGCATTTTGAGAATCAGTTTGACTACCTTGTTTAACTTTCCAGTTCCACCACTTACTAGCTGGAGACCCTTGGGTAGGTTACATAATTTTTCAAAGACTTAGTTCTCTCCTCTGCAATTCCTGGATGTCAATAATATTTAAACCACAAGATTGCTGTGAAGACTGAAAAGCTAATCCGTTTAAGCATTTAGTCTGGCACATAGAATAGGCTATCGATGATCATGTGTGGTAAGTGAGGCTGATATTACTATTCCCTATCATCTCCTCTTCACAGATGCAGAAACAGCACCTCAGAATAGTTAAATATTTATTTAAGCAAACACAGCTAGTAAATTAAAATATCAGTTTCGTGCCTTCTAGATTTTATTCTTTTCCTTTATATTAAACTTCTTCACTTAAGCCCATTATTTGGTCTACATACTCCTATACTATCTGAATCATAAATGTTTTGGGTTAAATGTTTTTCAAGACGAGCAATAAAGCCATGTAAAAAGAAAGATATCAAATTCATGTAATTTTTAAAGATGTTCCATAAACTCATGGATGATATGAAACTAAAAATGATCCAAGGTAAATCTCAACTTTGAATCAAAAATATACTCAGACATACTAAGGAAATTGGTTCAATTACTCGTGGTTTATCAAAACAATTCTTTCATTTACTTTTAATATCTCATATGCAGTTATTAATCTAATCAGACATACTAAGGAAATTGGTTCAATTACTGGTGGTTTATCAAAACAATTCTTTCATTTACTTTTAATATCTCATATGCAGTTATTAATCTAAATTTCAATTACAGAGCTGAATATACTTAAAAAGTGATCACAACAGACAAAGCTATATGTCAATTTAAGCAACTCTTTTTTCACAGTGGGGGAAAAAACCCTGAATGTTAAAGTACTTACTGCAGCTTGTCGGTGAGTATTAGACAGTATTCCGTGAATCTTCACTTTGTCTTTTTCCATTTTGTCTATATTCACCCACAAATCCCGGCTGGCAGAATCAGATGGACCATATATCCGAGATATATAATAATTGTGGTCTGTATCCTCCTGCAATAATAGAGAAAAACGTATATGAAGACCAGAGATACTGTTCCTACAATTCTTTTTTAAAAAATCCTATTGAAATTAGAAGTGTTACTATGTCGGGTCCGCCACCGGCTGACCCGAACAGCCCTTGCCTTGCTATCAGTCTCTCCCTTGGTGTCCCTTCTGGTGGGTTGCCTGGATTCCTCTTTCCCCAGTCCCTGTTGAGAGGAGATGGAGGAAGAGAGCTGTAAAGAGAGTTGAGCACAGCCACCGGCCCCAACCAGCCCGTTAAAGAACACTCAGAGGTGGCGGGGATTCTGTCGAGCAGTTCCATTTATTATCACACAAGCACTTGTTTTTATAAGCATATGGCAAAGGGGGGGGGGCGAAAGGGATTTCCTATCTGTAGCCTATCATTTTAAAGGTTAAGCGATTGTGCGCCTGGATCCAATGCTTTGCTGTAGCGATCACACAGTGTTCACAAGTGCAGAAGTGCATCTGGGCCAATAATGGCTATGGCAAAGTTCCCTCAAGACACTCCCACCCTACTTCCTCCTGGCGCCATCTTAGGCTGCCGCGTTAATACACCCTTGTGGGCCCATAATGGCACCGCTTGTAATGTCACTTAAGGTGGCGTTAGTTTTTAAGGCCTGATAGTACTAGTCTTCAAAATAGCCAATTGATTTAAATAACCTCTAAGGGAAGTGAATTAAGATAAAAAATATGCAAAATCAGTAATTCTATTTAGAAGAAACTGTTACACATACAAAACTCAGAAGCAAATATATAGTCTGTTTACAATAGACTTTTTTACCACAGTAATATTAGTGATCTTTCTAACTGCTGCCCAAACAAAAATGTCTCTTTTAGAACTATTTACTGAAAACCAGAGCTATAATTATTATTGAGAAGCAACAAATTCAAATTTCTCTTAAGAATAAGGTTATTTCAGGGTCTGCTTTCAATAAATGGTCCTAGAAATGGAAATAATATATTTTTTCCTTTCATTTGGGTTATTAAATTTCACATTTATTTGAATTTTCATTATTAGTATCACCATGGTGTCTGTCATAAAACCTTTATTGTTCATGTTTCCCACTCAAAGAAGAGATTTAAATGTTTTAAAAGGCCATTTTGCTGAGGAACACCTAGAAAAATCATGATTCCTGGCTAATTCTGTTTGCATTTTTTTCTCTTTTTGCCATGAGATGCAATTATGCTTATCAATTTAAGGAGTCACTAGATAAAATATATTTTAAAACGTTCAGGTAAATGTAAGAAAAATTTTAATGAATTTACATTCCTATGATTTCTGTGATTTGAATAATAAAGTTTGGGATTTGAATTTCTGTCTAATGTATTTATTATCTAAGTGCTAATTAAATAAAATACAATTATTATTGAAATCCAGTCAAAACAGGAATCTCATGTACTTTTTCAAAAGCCATTAGGCTACATATATGTAAAATCGATTACAGAAAGGGAAAGAATATTCTAAGCAGTATTCTAAACAGATTTTGCCTCTTAATGAAAAGAAAAAATAGACCCCAAACATTAAATGTTTAGAGTAAGTTGAGTTTTTTTCTAAGTAAGATCCTAGGTATACCTCTAATTACACTTGGGGTAGCACATACAAATTATATGTACACCTATGATTAAAGGTCTGCAGAGAAAGAAGAAAAAAGGAGATAAAAAAAAAAGAGGTTGGGCTGGCCCGGTGGCGCACTGGATAAGTGCGCCGCTTGGGAAGCGCGGCGG